TCGTGTGTCGTCCCTACAGAAGCGGGGCCCGGCCTTGGCGCTACGACCGGGCCTTCCCTTGGCCGACCAGCCTGAGGCTGCGGCGCGTATACGGGAAGGCCCGCGGCCGAACACTGAGCGAGGTACTGGTGGTTTAACAATCAAAGGACACGAGGACAAACACACATGAAAGGGAGAAACTTCGGAAGGGCAAGACATCAGAAAGATTGCCCTTCCGCTCACGCACATGGGGAGAGATCCATAGACATGCGAGAGAGATCTCCGAATGTCGCGCACAGTTCAATCCCAATGTAGAGTACAAGTCCGATCTGAATGTCGTGTCCAATAAGGCAGAATGCCGTGTCCAAACAATGTCTGCAGTTACCTCTATCTCTACTCTGATGAAGAAGAAGAAGAAGAAGAAGAAGAAGAAGAGAATTCGGAAGAGTAGGAGGGGAATATGGAGGTGTGTGCCTCCGAATATGGATTGAGGCTTAACTTTCACTCCAGTCCACTTTGCCATTTGGTAGAGTGTGTGCCTCCGAATATGGAGGTTATGTGTTCGATTCTTGTGATCAACACTCTCTCTCTCTCTCTCTCTCTCTCTCTCTCTCTCTCTCTCTCGGCAGTTACCTCTATCTCTACTCTGATGAAGAAGAAGAAGAAGAAGAAGAAGAAGAAGAAGAAGAAGAAGAATTCGGAGGAGTAGGAGGAGAAGAGGAGAGAAGAAGAAGAAGGAGAAGGAGAGGAGGAGGAGGAGGAGAAGAAGAAGAAGAAGAAGAAGAAGAAGAAGAAGAAGAAGAAAGCTAGGCGCTTTCTGATTCTACTTACCTGGGTGCTGACTGCAGGTACCACGGGAGCCCAGCTATGGCGCTGGTAGGTTGCAACAGGTAAGCTTCTCTTCTCTCTCTTTCTCTCTCTCTCTCTCTCTCTGAACTCCGCTAACCTCCTCGGTGCTGGACTCCTCCCGCGCTGTGCCACGATGCTGAAGAATAGCGCAGCCGGCAACCTCAAAATAGCGCAGCAGGTAGTCTCCAAATAGCGCAGCAGGCGAACTCCTGAACCAGCGTAACGCTGGGTTTCTCCTGGGGTCTTCTCCCAGAACTGGGCGCTGGCCCAGCTTAAGTAGTGCTGGGCTGGACCCAGTGAGTCCACGGCCTTCGTTCTGGACCGTGCAGATCGAATTCGGATCCACGGTCCAGATCGCAGGCTTCGGACTTGGTTCAGTCCTTGGCCTAAAACGGCCTGCCTGGGTCCCTACCAGACGTCCAGGCCCTGCCCAGGACTGGGCCTGTTCGGTACCTGGTCCGATTCAGGGCCTGTGCGAATGCATCAGGCCTGAACGTCCGTCCAGGTCCGAATGGTGCAAACAAAAAAGGTCCAAACGTTTTTAGAGGCTCAGCCTCTGGGCCTGAATCTGGCCCTGGCCCTGGCCCTAAAACGTGTACCTGGCCACAAAGCGGACAACAGCACACACGTTAGAAAAACAGCAGCAATAAATAAATCAAAAAACATAACAATAATCTAAAGCTGGCGTTTTTCTGATGCAGGCCCAAGTAAAAATGCCATAGGGCCTTCAGGTTGCGGTGATGCGACCTGGGGCCCCTATTCCAACCTCGGGTCCCGTGAGGGGCCCGTGTGTAGGCTCTCAGCATGTAACACAGAGAGAGAGAGAGAGAGAGAGAGAGAGAGAGAGAGGAGAGAGAGAGGCGGGTGTTAACGAGGCGCGGTCGGCAGCTTTTCCTGCCCTAACCCATTCCCGCCAGTCTGCGCCAGAACCCAAGAACCAAAAACAAAAAACAAAAAAAACCGGGAGGGCCTGCTAG